CATTTGGGACATATACATTTGGGGTAGAGCCAGCTTTTAAAAGCTTGGCTCTTACCTAGATTTAAATTAAGTAAGAATATGTAACACCATTTCTCTAAGAGTTGCAAAAAGCAGGATAAATCAAACGCTTTTGTAAGAATGCCGGAATTTGACGGTAAAAAAGCTATTCTGGCAACACTGGTGAGTATCGAACTTATTCAGAGGAATTCGATTAAGCTCCTAAACGAGTCTTTTTATAATTACTTGTCTTGGAAATTATAAGCTATAATCCACATATAGTTCTTATGTGCATTTTTCGAGCTCTTTATAAAAGTGTTATCAAATAATTTAATATCTATAATTGTATGCTAAATTAAGTAATTACATACATATGTACATACGTCGTATGTATGAGTGTAAATACTTAATAAATACTCTTATACATTTTCATACAAATAATGAATGAAAATGTATATTGCAAAAATGCATTTCTGTGCATATAACTGTTTACATACATTTTCTTATATATCCTATTAAAAAAAAATAGCTTATGTATATGTATTAATGAATGCATATGTATGTTAAAACAAATGAAAATAGGTACTTGATGGTTACGTGTAGGGAAACTTCCATTTTGTACGTGATTGATTATAGACACATTTTTACGCAATTTTAAATACCCTGTAGTTCGGGTCTACCGGTGCATCGCTAACGATATTGCTGCCTCTTTAGGTCTCAAACAATGGAAACACCAATTGTTCGACTTAATTAACATGGGGATGTCATTGCCGCGTACCGAGCGGTACGACGCTGCATGACGTTGACCTAGCGAAATACCTAGTGCAAGAGGGTTGTCGATTTCGCTAGTACACACAACTTGGCGATTGTGCTAGAGGAAAGATTTAAGCGATTTATCTGATCCAAAAGGGTTAACTATTTCGCCAGCACATTTTACATAGCATTGCGCTAATGCTGATGCAAATGTGCTAGCGATAAAGCTGGTGCGAAATTGGTTTGCTCTTTCGCTAGTAAAAATATAATACAAAATTGGCTTCTTGGCATTACAAACTACGAACCTTATAATGAAAAAAGTTTATAACGAAAAAATGTAAATTCTATATTACATTATTTTACATATATTTTTTTTTAAGCTGCATAGCTTTTCTGAGCTGGTGTTCTGGAGACCCAGCACGACTTCCTATTGCAATGGACTCTGAAATTAAAAGTAAATGTATACTTTTACATGTTTTCGTTGTTGTTTTTTTTTTTTTTTTTTTTTTTTATAAATACCAATTAGCGCAGGAACATACCAATTATACATACCAATTAGCGCAGGATGTGTTTAAGCGTTTTAAGCCGAAGCTTGCCTAAAACACCAACTATGTTATACTCCATTGCGACCTCATCGGTCACAATGTTTTATAATTTAGTTGTAAAGTTACCTAGTTATAGTTGCTAGTTCGTTGATTATTTTTTGTTCTAATATGAATAAAAATATTTTAATTAAATATAATAGAAACATTATATATCCAAAAATACTTTTGAAATCCGAATCATAAAATTTTAATATTTTCTTTTAATCAAATTATTTTTATATTTATGTATAATTATTTTTTTTTGCTAATTTTAATTTATTATAATATTTGTTATAAATTTTAAGTCAAGGTGATGATAAAAACGGAAATTTCTTATAAAAATGGAGCATTGACATTCAACTAATTTATTCTTAAAAGAAAATGCTACAGCGTTACTCTCTAAATAAGTGAGTGAAAACACCTTCTCTTCGCTATCGTCAGATTCAATAATATATATACCTATATTTGTTGAACTGAATGGATCCTGATAGAAGCTTTGTCTTTTTTTTTAACTTTCAGCCTATTATCACTAACCATACCATTGTATGGTAAGTGCTATTATCAAATTCTCTGTTATATTTGTTATAAGTAAAGGAAGGCTGTTTTCCATGTAGCAATAATTATCAGCATGCTTAAGGTAGCATACATTTTTGAACAATTTTGGAGTTTTGATGGTTTCTTAATTTTTTAAGGGACTGAGGATAAACTCTCTTTAAAAGAGTATTAAGAGAGTATGAAGATCCAGAAACTGAATCGCCCACATGCTCAACCGTTTTTTTAAATGTAAAAGACTATGGACATTATACGAAAAGATATTTTGACCAAAAAAAACTTGAAAGTTTTCAACAAAGTCGTTTAGCACTAATTGGGCTGTATTCGAATCTGAAATACGCTGTGCAATGCAGCAAAAGGAAATTATAATAATTATCTTGGTGTACCTCTCCCTTAAGAGCAGCGGTACCTTTGTATGATACAAATTGTTTAAACTCTGTGGCTTTCCAATGTGCTAAATCATTTAACGGCCTTGACTTACGAGCAAACTCTTTAGGAATGTGGCGGCCAAAAGAAACTAATTTGTTAGAAATATTGTTTTATTGTCATTTGAGAGTTTGAAAGGGACTTTATTATTTACTAGACGTAAAGAAATTTCCGCATAACTCTAAAATCTATAAGATGCATTGAATCCAATGCAATTTGTGTGACTATTTTAATATTTTCATCTGTGTAGCTTTTGACATAACTGTTTGTCAAACCATCCAGACATGTCTGCCGAACGTGAGCCTTCTGTCTAAAATTACTCTGAAGTATTTGTGTGCGGGTTCATGCTTTAATGTGGAGCCGAAAAACATTACCCTTTGACTCTCAGAATGAGGACTCTCTCCTAGTAGCAAATGTGACATTTCCTACTATTGATGCTGATGTTCTAAGGCCCATGTTTCGAATCTTCCCAGGTATTCTAGCAACGCCTGTGTGGCAGTGCCTATTAGAGGACTCCTGGTCAGCACGGCAGTGTCACTGCTCACTGCTGATACCGAGCTGGCTGTTGGCATGTCAGCTGTGAAAATTGTGTGGAGAGGGACCGAGACGCTGCCTTGTGGGACTCTTTCTTTCTTTCACCATCGACGACTACTGTTCTATCCTCCAAGAAGCTACTCACTAACTGGAACAATTGTGGCGTTAAGAGGCTCTTTAATTTGCCGAGAAGTGCAGGGTGTCACACTCTATCGAGGCCTTGTTGAATAATTAAGAACACTGCTATCACATATTCACTGTCCTCCATGGTCTCCAGCGAAAAATTGACCAATCGGTTTAGTTGGTCTGGGGTTCCGAAACGTTTTCGAAAGCCAAACTGTCACTTTGGAATCGCCTGTGTCACGCTTGTGAGCTGCAAGATCCGGTTGCCTTTCCAACATCTTCGCAAGGGCAGGAAGAAGACCGATCGGTCTGTTCGCGTATACGTCTGTGAGCTGATTCTTTGGGTTAGGGATCATCGTGATCAGTGCGGACTTCCAGATCTTTGGAAAGTGTCCTAATCGTAGAATGCTGTTGAACAAAAGAATTACGAAGAGCAGCGCTCTACTAGAAAGAACTTTTATGGTCCTATTGTCCAACTTGTTTGTAGAGAAGCTACACGCGACTTGGAAAACAACAGCTGACTTCAGGTTGGATAACGTAGAGAAATGACGTAGACACAGGCCTCATACGCGTCAATGTTAGCGTCGCAGAAACTGTAAACTTCTAACTCTGCTGCAGTTATTGACTGTACTTTCTCAAAACTGACGCAAAGATCCTGCCAAGCTGTTGCCAAGGATGATGGCAGATAATGGTTACCGTCGAGAAAGTTTTGTTTTTATATGGTTTGGATCTCTTTTGAAGAGGTGATACAGATATCAGCGACAAAACTAAATCACAAACGAGTCGAAGTGCTTTGGTGCTGTCGCACCCATCATCAAACTTTAGAGAAGAATCTCTGTCATCTTTTGGTATTCCTACCAGCAGCATTACTTGAGCACCATTCTCGCAGCTTGCAACCACCATTTGCCAGAATTCCAGTTGTGCTACTCCTGTAGTGTTTACATGTATACGAGGTGGCAGTCGACACTGCCTTTCACATGGAATGTCCACGTTTAGTCGCAAACTTCTATGGCTTTTCCGCCCTTAAAGACTCACGTTCGTACGCGATGCATGGGGTACGGGGCGCGTACTTCTTGCTTCTTTTGTTCTTCTTACTTACTGTTTTTACTTTTGCTACACAACTCTATTTTCTACCGACTAATTTTGAATTCATTTTAATACAATTTACTTCACGTTCGTTCCGTTCCTTAAATTTACATTAACTAGAAAGCTCAATAGAAATAGAACAGGAAGACATTAGATCGCAAAGAAAAAATGTCTATTTAACTACTTGTAATTGCTTTTATATTTTGGCTTGCCAATCCACTTGACCTTTTTCCCTTTGGTATTTAAATATTTATCCACGTGCACATTTGCATTAAGACTTTTCCTCTTTTTGTATACCCTGAACCCATTGAAAATGGTCTTGATCTCCGACCTAATAAAGTATATATATTCTTGATAAGCATCGATAGCGGAGTCAATCTAGCCATGTCCGTCTTTCTGTCTGTCCCTATGTATGCACGCAAGGTTATCAGGACCTATAAAAGCTAGAACTTGAAATTTTAGCTGTAGGTCCTTCTGGTGCCTGCGCAAATCGTGTTTGTTTCCAATAATCGATAACTTACTCCGTTTCCAGGCAATCGATAAAAAGCAAATTTTATACCTATCGCCACCTCTCCGCTACCACCGCAGAGCTATAAATCAACCAACTTGTATTGCCCGCCACTTTAAGCCACAATTTAAATACAATTGACTTTTTGAGAATACTCAACTATTCTATGGTACAATAAGATATATTGTAGAAAACTTCATACACACAAAAATACAAAACCGACACACAGATACTGCAATCGCTTTTTTTTCAATATTTTTATCATTGAACATTCTCGAGTTAAGGCACAAGGATCACAGGCTTGCTGGTAGCTGACAACGGTGCCGCTTTACATCTAACGGATAACTTCGTAACTGAGTGCAGAGTGTAGAGTGCAATTTGGACCCGCCAAATTACACAATAGCAGTGACTCCAACCGTGAGCAGACAGGCATTATAATTGACAATATTTATTTGTTGCGTCATGATAGAATATGAAGCATACCCGTTTAACTTACATATACGGAACATTCGCTTTCAGTTAGTGAGTTAAAACAAGCTGCTTAATATAAATTTGTAGATAAAAACTTCATAATTCTCAGTAAATGTAAATGTGTCAAATTTTAAGATGGTTCATAACCGAAAAATTGTTTATCCTATTCTGTAACAAAGTGAGATAAAAACTTATCAAAATAATATTTTGTATTAAATCTATATCTCTTTCTGTTGTTTCAGATATTTATAATGCTTCGCTTTCCTGAGGAAGGGTTTGCTGAAGATAATAAAGCATCTCCCCAAACAGATAAGCAGCATCAAAAAGAAATATTAAGCAAATCGCATTACCACACGCTAATATCCCCGGAAGTTTGTTCAGAAACCTTCAAGAATAATTACTCACAAAAAGATCGCTTTCCTAATAATATGTCATATGCAACCCATATTGTAAAGTCGAGTTCACCAGCTTCTAGCTTAGGAGAGTCAGTGTTTACCTCTGAGTTTGGTAATCAAATACTAGCATCTCAAGGTCAACAAATACAGACAATGGCCCCCAGTGGTGATATTAACTTTTACAGTTTTCCTGATTTTATATCTGACCATGAAAAGACTATTTTGTCAGATGCTGAAAAGCTTCTAATATCGAAAGAGAATGATATTTACAGTAATGAATATAATCAAATACATGATGTTTTTGCTATTCGCAAATATTATCATCCTTTATTCGCTCATGGAATATGCCGCTGGCCAGGTTGTGAAGTGGATTTGGAAGATATTTCCTCGTTTGTAAAGTAAGTATTTAATTATTAGCGACTCTATTTTACTCATGCTAGTCAAAAACAAGTAAGAGGTTCTAGTCGGGAGCTCCCGACTTAGCGGGGGACGAGTTATCGGGATTCGACTTTATTAGTTGTTTAGCTTTGGTAAGCTATTCCGTTCTTTTTTATTTATTTTTAATTTTGGATTTAACGTTATCTAGCTCCTGAATTTTATGTGCTATAACGCAATTGATCTTGATAGTCCAAAATATACATATTTATATTTGCTGAGAAGAATATATCGTCATCTGAGCAGAACGTAGAGTCAGCTTTATGAATTGCAGGGCTTGTAAAATAATATCCATCTCAGTGAGCCGGCCAAAACCCAAACATCATTTGTATGCATTTTCTTTACGATTGTCTCATTAACAGGCATCTAAATTTGGAACATGCGTTAGATGATCGATCGACAGCCCAGGCTCGAGTACAAATGCAAGTTGTTTCACAACTGGAATCTCACCTGCAAAAGGAAAGAGATCGCTTGCAAGCTATGATGCATCATTTATACTTATCAAAACAACTATTATCGCCATCGAAAATGGATCGAAAGGTATTTATATTATTATTTCAAGTATTAATAAAAATACCTGCCAAATTTATTTTTATTTACAAAATAAAACGGATGGTCAGAAAAACATTGGACAAAACCAATATAGTATTTTAAATTTTTAAACTATTAATATTAATTTCCCGTTGACCTTGGGCCAACAAACTAAAAAAAGATTATCACAATATATTAATGATGTCTTTGAGTACCGAAAATTTGTTTAGCGATTCGAAACCAAAATGTTATTGAAGTATTTTCTGCGTAACTCAAAGAGCACAGCAGCTGCGTAATTAGTTATGCTCATTTATAAAGTTATTGATACCACTTCAAACCAAAATTCCTTTTTATACCCTGAACGCATTGAAAATGGGTATAACGGGTGTAATGTATTTGTGCAAATGTATGTAACCGGCAGAAGGAAGCATTTCCGACCCCATAAATTATATATCAGCATCAACAGCCTAGTCGATCCAGTCATGTCCGCCTGTCTGTCCGTCCGACCGTATGCACAAGGACCTTACAAACTATAAGAGACTTGAAATTAGCTGTAGGTCCTCCTAGTCCATGCGCAGATCGAGTTTGTTTCCGATAATCGATAACTTACTCCGTTTTCAAGCAATCGATAAAAACCGAAATCCTTTCTTTTGAGCAAATTGGGTATATAATATGAACTAGAGGCACCAAATATACCTGTCGCCATCTCCCCGCTACTACCTCATAGCTATAGGTCAAGTTAATAACTAACCTTCTATTGCCCAACAATTTAAGCTACAATTTTAATATATACACAATAAATAGGGGAAAAAAAAAGTAAGAATTTGATAGAAGTAAAGAAGTGTATGCTAGATGTATAGAGCTTAGAAGATAGGATAAAGAGATAGTAATGGGAAATAACCGGGGGAAAGTGTATAGTCTGTCCGCCAGCTTTGCCCCTGCTCATAGCTGGGAGTGGTCAGTGAATTTGAGGATTTATCTCAGCAATATTCTCTTCTAAGGGTTGCATTAGTTGCATTATTTTAGGATATTTTAATTTATGCTTAAGGAAATTTGATAATATAGGAGCCTTCAGAATGAATTGCTCAGGAAGGGATTTAGGTATCTCTTGGATTTAAAAACGCCCACTACCAATTGTGACTCTCACATTGATTGGGCTTTTTTAAATCTCTTCAGTGAGGAAGTTAGCGCAAGAAACGAGTATCCTAGCACGGTGTATAGTTACCACAGTGGCAGCTCTCTAAGTGTTCAGGATAGGGTAAATTAAGTTTCTATATCTTATCATTATATTTATATTTAACATTATTTTTGGGGTCTTATATGTACTTGGGTTCAAGGTATTTTATAGTCGGGCGCCTCCGACTAGAGCACTCTTATTTATTTTTTCTTTTATTTAAAAATAATCCAAATTGTACCGAATCCATCGTTGCAATTAAAACAAAAATTTGTTAAATAAAACAAAAAAGGCTTTATCAAAATTGACCCGATTCCAGAGTTCTAATAAATATAATTCAATTAAATAAAATAAATAATTATTTTCTCTGTTCCTTCGCTGTTACCCATCTTCGAGGCTCTTTAGGAGCCTATTGTGCCAATTGATAGCGACAAAAGCAGTAAGCAACGACTTTCCGTTTCATCAACGCAGCATGGAAGATCAAAAATACTTCCGCACCTACCGATAAAAAAAGATTCTTTGCCATTATCCGTGAAAAGGTTTCCCACTCCTTCCATAGAAAAGTTACCTATTCGAGCAACTTCTTCAAGGGGGACCGCTAAGGGTCCGACAATTTCGGTTTCCGATCCTGCAACCCCAACTCATAGTGATTTGCTCGTTGAACGACCCACACTGTTCACGCATAAAGGCGTCAATTTCGCAGGGCCGTTCTATATCAAAAATTACACATGCCGAGCATGCCTCATCACCAAATGCTATGTATGCCCCCAACAAATGGACTTCGACAATGGCAGAACGTTCGTCGGAGCCTCCGAAACCTTCTCGCGTGATTTAATAGAAACCAGAAAAAGTGTATAAATTCGTCCAACAGCCATACAAAATTGTACTGTCGCCTTAACCCTCCTAGCGCCCACATGGGTGACTTATGGGATGCGGGAGTAAAGGGCTTCAAGACTCTCTTTTACAAGGCCACTTTCTCATTTAAACGTTTGAAGCATTATCGCCACTCCTTTGCAATAAAGAAGCTTGCTTGAACTCGAGGCCAATCTCACCATTATCAGAGAACTGGGCTGACCTACAGGTCCTCAGTCCAGGCCGTTCCTAGAGTGCGGTCCTCTTATATCGATTTAAGAGCCTGAAATTAAAGAGAGTGCAGTATCCATCCTTAACCGTTGGCAATGTCTCAAGGCCCTTAATCAGCCGTTTTTTTCGTTGGAAAGAGGAATACCTCAAGGAGTTGCACAAATGGAAATGGAAATGACAACATCCAACGAGAAAGCTTCAAAACAGTAACATGGTTATAGTTAAAGAAGATAAATTTGAATTCAACGTTTGTGGCTATGCTACGCATCCAGGCAAGAATGACATGGTGGCGAGTCTGGCGTGCCCTCCGATTCCATGGCGATTCCAGCTACGACTTTGTCGTCGCTCCTGCAGAGCATTGGTGCACTGCCTACTGCTGCACCTACTGCACACTGGTGCACCTAGGAAACCACCCAAAACCCTTCGAGAATGTCTTGACAGATGCTGGGGTCCATCGGCCCGGTACCGTCTCCTTGCTGCTCGGTGTGGATCATTATCCGCAAATTATCCGCCTGAGTCTGGTACCCAGCCATGACGATCTGCCGGTGGCGCAGAACACCATATGCGGATGGGTCCTCTCAGGAACCTGCACCAGTGTCGTCTGGTGTGACACCTTACCTCCCTTATTTCCATGGATCTCCAATTCCAATAGTATTGCAAGGGGGCGGGATTTTCAGACCGCAAAGTATGCTACAAGGTCGCTACCTTCAATTTTTCTCGCTGCTTCCAAGCAATCAAGATATAGCTTAAGAAAAGTAGCCCAGCTGCTATACTTTATAGTTTTTGATATGACACTCGAAATAAATCAGTGCAGGATATCAAACTCATTTTTTATAGAAGGATCGTTGTAGTTAAAGTTCACATAATTTTATCGAAATTATAATAAAGAATATAACCTCTCTGCCCATAATTTTGTTCATTGCATTTTATATATATTTAACCTTTTTATACCGACTATTTTAATATTTTATTTGTAGGATGTTTCCGGAAATGACAAGAGTTTATGCAGTGGAACATCTCCACATGTAATAAATAATGTAGTTCGATCTCTATATCGATCGCAATCTCCCAGCTCGGTTAACCTTCCTATTGTTAACTCTAGTAGTTTATCGGCAGTAAAAAAAAGGAGTCATGAAAAAAATACGTTTTCTGTTACTGGTGGTAAGTCTTAGCACAATATTTTAATATACATATATAACAGCAATTTAAACTTTAGATATTTTGAAAGCGGTTAGCAACCATTTCATGGAATCGGCTGCTCATATCTGTTATAGGAAAATGCCTGTTTTGAAGTAGTTATCAAAATATACTGCCCTTGTCAGCGACCCTATAAACATTTTTATGATCCTCTTAATTTGTTTGACTTCCTTACGGACAGAATTAAAGGAATTATAGTATAATATATGCACATTTTTTGGGGAGGTGACCCTTTTTGGAAAAAGGGGGATAGAGCTGATTATGTTGATTGTATTTACAGATGCGAGTGTTGGGGACATGGGACTAAGAGCCAATTTAAAGAATATTATTGCATGGCCCTTTTTAGGACGCGTGGGGGCTAATAGTCCCAGTTAATTTATTATCTAGTTAAAATGTGTATTTTGTGGTTAAATCTTGAATGAAAGTAGTAGTATAAAGATTCTGCGTATGCCTTATTTGGGCATTCACGATTAGAGCACTATATTTTACTCAAAATGAAAAAATTAAATTTTTTATCATTCTATTTATTTAGGCTTGCCGTACATGCTAGAAAGGGCAGGACTTGATGTACAACATGGTAAGTAGGTATTGATAAAATATTGTATCTCAATTTCATGTGTGTTTGATGGTTACCGACAAAAGTATACCAAGCCTATAAAATCTAATTTAAAATTTCTTTTTCTTTTTGTTATCAATTAAAAAGATGTACATCATCGTTTTGGAATATTCATTAATGCATCGGGTAGAGAATTTATCTAAGATACATTTTCCGGTCTAATTACTTAAAGTTGAAAATAATTTCATTTTGCGATAGTACTTGCCTTTGGCCTCTGGGAAAACTAATTGAAATATTACCAGTATTCTTCAAACTGTTCTTAAATTTCTTTTCACGCGAATCCCGATGCAACCTACTGCATCCCAGTAGTAACTTGCTAACCAGTACTTGCTAACTAGTTTAATATAAAAGATTTAGTATGAGGAATATAATATTCTGAACAGAATATTGCATATCTTATTTATAACAAACAAGTTATAGGCTCTAGTCGGGAGTTCCCGACCAGCTGATACCCCGAACCCTCTTAGAGATTTCTCAGTTGAGTGATTGTGTTTTACTTTTGCTCAAAGATTTGTATATTTTGCGCTTCTAACCTGCAGAGAGGGATTTGGCGAAAATTATTTGTAAAGGCTGATAGAGAGATGTTGTACACGATTTTAGAAAAAGTACTGATAAACCATTACAGTCAGATGAAGAAGTTATTAAGGCTTATAGCGGCTGCATAGAAGTCTTCCGTTGAAAATATAATATTTTATTAATTTTAAATGTTAGGAAGCTAAGGGAAGAGCCCTCGTCGCAATTATAACATTTTTGAAAGTTCGAGCTAAAAAATCTGGCAAAGAGATCTGCTATACTTGATTCCGAATTAGCTGATAGCGTCCCAAGTGTCATAATTGACGGCAATTGAGGTTGTTCTTTTCGAATTGACAAACGACCATAACTTTTTTGGGCAAGTCTTAATCTCATCCTCGATATTGAGTAAATATTGGTTATAGAGAAATTTGTTTTAAAATTCAAACTCTCGTTTATGTAGAGAATATCTTTCCCAATCGGAGGCTCTCCAATATTTACAGAATTTCTTAAAGATTTTCTGCATACATGTACATATACACATTCATCCACCTCTGCTTTAAATTCTGTCAACTGAATAATTTTTTTTATTTTATAATTTTCTTTTTATATTCAGAACCGATTGAAAATGTATGTAACAGGCAAAAGGACACATCTCCGACCGCATAAAGTATATAAAGTATATCAATAGCCGAGTCGATCTAGCCGTCTGTGCGTCCGTCCGTCTGTCCGTCCGTCCGTCCGTATGTATGAACGCAAGGATATCAGAACCTATAAGAGCTAGACTCGTGAAAAATTTAGCTGTAAGTCATCCTAGTGCCTGCGCAGATTGAGTTTTTTTCTGATAATCGATAACTTACTCCGATTTGTATGAACTCAAGGATGGCAGAGCCTATAAGAGCTGGAAAACTTCTCTATTTGTCTAATTTTTCTGTCCGACGACGGCCAGAGCTCGAAATCAAGAAAATGCTCAGCATTTATATATATATATTTTTTTGTAATTTTTAAATTTAACTGATTGCCACGTTTTTGTTATTTACAGAAATACAACGCAATAGAGAGTTCTATAAAAACGCCGACGTTCGTCCACCATTTACATATGCTTCCCTTATCAGACAAGTAAGTAAATACAAGAGTATTTAAAAGTTTTCGCAGCTCTCGCACGTCTCAGCTGTGTCAAACAAAATTTAATTTCCAACTACAAAACCGTTAGTTTAAATTGTGCAAGCGTCGCACCACTGAAATGTTTAATATATGACAAGCCCCAAACGGGAAAATTAAGACTAAAACGGTGCCTAGAAAATCTCGACCAGCAAGGAAGGGAAAAAGTGGTCAAAGCTTGTTGCATGGGGGAGTCTAGGAATATCGACGGAGGTACTAAGCACTTTAGAGCGCTCCAAATTTCGCAGGGGTGGCTACGCCAAGCTCAGGATCCAATTTGTCAGGTTGGCAAAGCTTGTATATGCTGATTTGATGAAACTATTTTAGCATACAGCATATGTACTTTTCCATACAAAAATGCATTGTGTCAGTAATTTTGTACACCTTTACCGCGTTTTGGCCAATGCATAGGCTTGTTATAAAGACCCTTGCCTAGTGCTTTAAGTGTTAGCAGAATACCAATTAAAATATTTAAGCCATATTTTTATTTCCATATTTTATGAAAGGCTATCATTGACTCACCTGACAAGCAGTTGACACTAAACGAAATATATAACTGGTTCCAAAACACATTTTGTTACTTCCGGAGAAATGCAGCAACTTGGAAGGTAATTACTACAGCATAAATGTAAAAATAATATATTTATATATAAATAATATTAATAAGTATAATATTTAAATTTTTATTTTTAATATTTGTTATACACGATAGCTGCCAATGAATTTCCAAATATTTAAGTTTCAGTAACATAAATTAAAGATTGATAGATTGATGGTGACATGTTGGCAATCAAAATACACACAATGTCATAAATAACTAAATGCAGTAATCGGTCGACTTAAATTAAATACAAAAAATGGAAGCTGATCATGTGATCCCTATAAAACAGTCTTTTGCTTAAGTAAGACTAGGTAAATGAAAACTTGGCAAAGTCTACCCGATGCTAATACAAGCATACATAGCCGTTAAGACAAAGTTTTATTGCGAAAAAGCGCAAAAATGTAAGATTCAATGCGCCCGTGACTATGAACGAAACTAGACCGCTGTTGTAAAATACGCTGCTGGCCAATAGCAAAATTGTAAAGGTGCACCATGTCACCTTTAAAAGAACCCTCGGAGTAGCCCATTGCTGGTGGTGGTAAGCGTGCGGTGATTACCGTAAAGTCACTGTTGAGTTGTCAATGTTTTTCACAACTGTTTGAAACCAGATCCAAGAATTAAAGAATTTCAAGATTGTCTTCTATATTGCTTTTTTAATCGAAAGTTATATATTAGTTCATATGATGGGAAACAAGGATACTACGTTAAAGGATATTAATGTTTCGTCTTCCCTCATGCGGAAATTGTTAACTCTGTCTTGGGGTCCTACCGCGTTTTTAATGTTGTACCTAGAGTCCATTGTCAGATTTTTATACCCTAAACCCATTGAAAATAGGTAAAAAGGGTATTATTTATTTGTGCAAATGTATGTAACAGGCAGAAGGAAGCAGCTCCGAAGCATCTCTTAATCAGCATCAATAACCGAGTCGAACTTGCCGTCGGTCTGTCCGTCCGTCTGTCCGCCCGTCCGCCCGTCCGCCTGTCCGCCCGTCCGTCCGTCCGTCCGTCCGTCCGTCCGTCCGTATGTATGAACGCAAGGATATCAGAACCTATAAGAGCTAGAGACTTAAAAAATTTAGCTGTAGGGTCCTTCTAGTGCCTGCGCAGATCGGGTTTGATTCTGATAATCGATAACTTACTCCGTTTCCAAGCAATCAATAAAAATGATCGATTTTCTGTTTTTTAAGCAAATTGGGTAAATATTAAGAGCTAGAGTCACCAAACTTGGTATGTTGCTTCTAGAATATTACATATATATATAAAGTATCTTTCATTTTATGCCTATCGCCACCCCCGCTACCACCACAGAGCTACAAATTAAGTTGATAACCATACTTTTATTGCCAACCAATTTAAGCCACAATTTAAATGCAATTGACTTTTTGAGAATACACAAATATTGTATGGTACAATAAGATATACTGTAGAAAATTTCATTGAGATCGGTTTAGAAAAACCTAAAGTTATGTTTTACTGCGCAATTGGATGGGGCAGCTAGCGCAAATTCCAAGAATTTCTGTATACATGTACACACACCATTTTCATGCGCACAGCAAGCGGTGCGTTCTGTTGCGAGTTCGAGCCCTACCGAGGAAACTTTTTTTTTTGGCTGGTGTGGCTGTTGAGTAGAGTCGTCAGCAAGTAATGCGGTCTGTCGCGACTTTGAGCCCAACTGGGTCGTCAGTAATGCGGTCAGTTGCGAGTTCGAACCCTGCCAAGGGAACTTTTTTTTTTTTTCAATTTATCTTTATTACTTCAAACGAGCGCATAGCGCGAACTGCATTTGGTGTTGGAACAAGAGGGGGTTCAGGGTATTCCCTAGTCGGAAGCTCTCAACTAGAACCTCTTACTTGTTTTTTTTTTTAAATTTATCTTTGTTACTTCAAACGAGCGCGTTGCGCGATCTGCATTTGATGTTGGAATAAGAGGATTCAGGGTATTCGTTAGTCGGGAGCTCCCGACTAGAACCTCTTATTTGTTTAATATTATTATTATGTAATTGCATAGCCCGTAAGATGGAGATCCGATAGAGGAACACATTGGTCTCAGTGGTGTTCCTTCCTTGTGTGTTTATGGTAGTCCATATATCATCGGAGGTATCGCTGTTGTAGTCGTCTTATTTCTAGCGTCCTTTGAAACAAGACCCATCCTAAATATCTGGGCTAGGAAGTTATTATTCTTTGTCTGTAGTCTCGATGTCGGATCATGGATCAGTGTTTTATAAGCGCAAAGGTCGCCTAAAATATTTGATTTTTCATTTTTATAAAAGTCTACATCCAATATTACTCTTATCCGACGACAGAACTTGAATGTCTTTATTTTCTTTCAAGAATTTGAGTGTCTATTTCACTGAGTCCAGTATTGCTCGATTCCTAGAGTTTTGGTTGTTCTTAGTTTTATGCTCTTAAACGAATAAAGAGAATTCTGAGCTCGCCGGTTCTTATGTTTCTTTAATGGTTTGGACTAACTCCACTAAAAACAAGGATTAGTCATCATATATATATTATACTAGCGGGTATAGCCCGGCCTTGCCCGTGGCACGTATAAAATAAGTGTTCTCAAAAAGCTTTAAAAATGAAATAACTTTGAAATTGAGTTTGAAGCCGATCGGATGGTAAACAACAAAGTTTCATACAAATGTTTTTCGCGATTTTTCCATACTTGCGCGCGGAATTTCCCGAAGCCCCGTCTTAGCGTGCACCTTCATCACATAACGTAACTACAGTTAAAATTTGAGTTTCCTAGCTCTGACAGTTTGGGCTGTGCGTTGATCACCAGTCAGTCAGTCAGTTAGGACAAACAGTTTTATATATAGAGATTATATATAAAATTGTCCCGACTGACTGACTGATTGGTAATCAACACACAGCCCAAACCGTTAGAGCTAGGAAACTATACTGTACTGCCAATATATATCTGGTATTTCATACGTACATATACATATATGTTTGAAGAACTCGGAGTTTTTTGAAAAGCTATGCAGGAGAATAAGATGTACACAAGTGCGCAAAGCATAAGTAAGAACGAGGCACACTTTGCACATGCATACACACATATTTTTTGGGCTGCTAGGAATTTAAAATTAACAAATATGAACATTATAAAAAAGCAGGGAGATTGCGCGTTCATAGTCATCGTACGATTCTCCAGACCGGTGTTGAGCTGCCACTCTCAGCAGTCTTACTCTTTTTGGGCATCGCAAAATGAACGCAATGACGCATGGGGCTCGCTCACATTAAAAATTTTGTTGTTTCAATTATTTTGGCATTTAAAGCATCTATATACAAGAAGCGTATAGCCCCGTTTTCAAAAAAAATCATTAAACTCTTTAATTTTATTTTTATTTTCTGTTAAAACTATACATCATTCATAGCTTTAAGTGCCTATGACTGTGACTTATCGGATTATATGCTACTAAATAATTAATAAAACGTTTACTACGTACATACCTCTAGAATGCAGTACGCCACAATCTATCTCTGCATAAATGCTTTATGCGAGTTGAGAACGTAAAAGGGGCTGTCTGGACAGTAGACGAAATAGAATTCTACAAAAGACGACCACAACGTACAAGTGCCGCTGCTAGTAATTTAGTAGGTGTTAAAAATTCGATGGATAATAAGTTTTATATAGCGTTAAACTTTGGGTATGTGGGAAATTCGTCAAATAATTTTTTCCACATACATTTTTTCTCAATTTATTAATTAGAATATAATTTGCTAATCTAATTTATTCTATATTTGTACTTTTAAGAAATGAATTTGTTAAAAAAAAAAAAAAAAAACAAATCTGACCCTATAGAGAATACAGGGTCAATTTACCTATGTCTGTCTGATTGTACGTCCGTCCGTATACTGTTAGTGCCATATACAAACGTCATGGTTTGTTAGTCTATAGGTAATATTAAGTTTTCATACAAGAAGCTTTTTTTATATGTTTAATCACCGTACATAAAGAGTGATGAAAGTAAGTCGCAGCTTGCATCTGCTTATTAAAGGGATATCGATGAGAATGGGGAATTTGATATTTGAGTCAAGTTTATTATACTTCAAATTTATGAAAATAATAAAATTGACTGCGTTATAATGCTTTTGTGGTATTGAGCTACTTTTATAATATTAAAAAATCAAATAATAACAGCTATTTATTTTAGCTTAATAGATAACTAAAGGTTTGTGCTTAAAATTATAAATACAACTTTTTCATTCCATTCCCGTCGGTGAAAAATTTAAATCCGCCGGTACCATCTTGAACTCTAAGTCTATTTGAAAATATATTTAGGGTTTCGCCAAATATCGAACCAAAACGTGAAAAGTAATTAAAACCCGCATTTTCTTCAAAAGCGGTAAATTTTGCGTATAACGTAACAAATGAATTCTCTCAAAAATCTTTGAAAATAAATTTAAGTTTAAGTTGCGGGTGGAAGTTCCAAAATCGCTGAAACACGTATTCAGTTATCGGATCTAACCAAATTTAAAGTTTAAAAAATATCTAACCCTCTAATCTGCAAAAAGTGTTAAATATGTGTCAAATGAATTTTCTTAAAGATCTTTGCGAATGAGTTTCTATCCTTAAATATTGCGAAAAGTGTCAATACGTCTAAAATTATTTTCATAAATAACTTTGAAAATTAATTTGAGCACGAAACGTCATTTACCAAATCTTTTACATCCCCATCTTCTATCACGGATGAATTGATTGTTGGAAAATTGTGAAACAACCTCCAATGGAACTCGAAGAAAGATCTTTGATGAATGAATTCGGGGCCGATCGGATGGTAAATAAAAGTGTTTCATACAAATGTATTTCGTAATTTTTCCATACTTGCGGGTGGAATTTCCAAAAACCCAGTCGGAGCGTGCACCTTTACTACATAAAGTAATTACAGTGAAAATTTCAGCTTCCTAGATCTTGTTATTTTGATAGCTTTATAATATGGCTGTCCGACATTGCAAAAATGTTGCGCATATGGCAAACTTTTTAATTCTCAAGCACTACATACATTAC